CAAACAGGGTTTATCAAGAACATTTTATCTATGGTATACAACTTCTGGAAACCCTTCAGAATACTATTTTAACCATTTAAAAATTTGGAGCAGCAATTTAAAATGTTCTCAGACCCAGGCAGATTTACATCTGGCTCTTTTACATTGTCAAGGTGAAATTGTCAGTTTTCATATAACTCTTTCAAAGAATGAAAGAGGGCATTTCCCACTTGTTTCATAAGGCTGGGCTATGCTTTGTATCAAAACCAGAAAAAGGTAACATAAGAAAAGTATCTCACTTATGAACACAGATGCAAAACTCCTTGTGTATATTAGCAAACCATCAACAGATGTGTATGAAAATGGAATACATCTAAACTGAGTTCTTAAAAAGGTTGAGAGGTTGGTTTAAAATTTGAAAATTATTTCATCTAATTTACTGACATTAGCAGATTAAAAAGGAAAACTATATAATACTTTTGATAAAATATATTTGATAACATTCTATATCTATTCATTACATATTAAAAAATCATAGCAAACTAGGAATAAGAGGAAATTTACTTAACATGATTAATAGACTACCTAAAACCTATAGAAAAAAATCGTATTTAATGGTGAAATGTCTAAAGATTAGAAAAAAGAACAAAACATCTGTCATGTCCCTGCTCAACACTATCCTAGAAGTCTTTTTTTTTTTTAAGAGTAGAATATATTTATTGAGAGAAAGCAAGCTTCTGTCTAAAGAGAGACAGAAGGGGTCCAGAGCAGGTTGCCAAGGACTCTGTCTTTTCCAGGAACTTTTATAGAGTAAAATCATGGGTTCAAGGTGGGGGAAGACTGGGAACTCACAAGGCAGATGAGCATACGGTCGGACATAACTATAGTTAAAACTTTGTGACCTAAATGAGTCCCACTGTAGAGTTTATGAAGCAATAGCAAACTCTCACCTCCATCCAGGGATCTCAGTGGAAGATTTCCAAATAATAATGAAATGCCCAACCTACTATGTCCTCAAGTTTGTGTTCTCTAAAACTAAAGAATGAACTTTAGGAACAACAGAGTACAATATATTTATTGAGAGAACAATAAGAGTACAATATATTTGTTGAGAGAAAGTAAGCTTCTGTCTGAAGAGAGACAGAAGGGGTCCCGAGCAAGTTGCCCTATCCTCGAAGTCTTGGCCAATACAATAAGGCAAGAAAATGAACTGAAACATTAAATATTTAAAAGGAAGAAACCTAGCTGTCATTATCTGCAGAAGATATTATTGTCTATAATCAGAACTCAAAAACTTCAGAAAAATGTAAGGAGAATAAGCATAAGTCTGTCAAGGTATGGATACAAATCAATGGATACAAATCAATGTCCAAAAGTCAATTACATTTCTATATATCCAAAAGAAAAATAAGAAGATAATTTTTAAAAGATACAATTTAAATAAGCTATTAAGTTTTTTAATACTTAGGAATAAATCCAACAAGACATGAAGGACCATTGTAAGAAAATTTACAAAGCTTTATTTAAAACTTTATTGAGATGAATTTAAAAAAAGACATAAATGGAGAATTACACCATGCTCTCAGATAGGAATATTCAATATCTTAAAGATGTTTACACTCTTTCAGATTTATCCAGAAATTAAATCCCAAGGAGTCTGTTTGCTTCTATGGTACAAAGGGCAACTCTGAAATTCAAATGGAACAAAAAGCCACGCCAAGATAGCTCTAATAAAGAAGCAGGAGACAATCTGGCTGGCATAAAGAGAGACTTACCAGATCAAGTAGGAAATTTTATTTTAAAGCTATAGCAATTAAGACAGCATGGACTGAGCACAGAGCCTCTACTAAACTGAGGGAACATACCAGGGAACCTAGAAACAGATGCGGCATGGAGACTTGATTTATGACAGAACAGGCTTCTCAGATCAGGGAGAAGGATGAACTACGGGGCCGGGCTAATTGAGTATCCATGTGGAAAAAAATGAAATTGGATTCCTCCCTTGTCAAAAATCAATTCCAGGTGGATTAAAAACTTAACCATGAAAGACAAAACTATAAAACTTTTAAAAGACAATAGGGAAGTATATCTTTATGACCTTGGAATAAATAAAAATCTTATTCAAGATTTTTTAAAAGTGTGAGCCATGAAGGAATATATAAATTTGACTGTATAAAAATAACTTTAGTTCGCCAAGACACTACAGAATTTTTAAAAAAAGCTATAAAGAATCCACACCCAAAATACTAGAAGTTCATAATATGAAAATAATAACCAAAGGGGCAGGAGAAACAAAAGATAAGAGTAGACATTTCATCTAACAAGAATAAACATTTCTTTACATGTCAATCAAGATCATTACCACTCAGACAAATCAATTTAACACCATGATGAGATAGCACTGCATACCGCCAAATAAGCAGATAATAAAAAAACTGGACATTACTACACTGAATAATAACAAGATTTGTCATTTGTTCCTGGTGGAAGTATAAATTGTTACGGTCACACTGGGGAACAATTTGTTACCACCTAATGTGGTAGTTGTCAATTTGAGTAGAAACACCCAGCTGAATTGGTTCAGCATGGTTCTAGGTGTGGAAGACCCACTTAAGGAGTGAAGTTACTCAACATCAAAGTGGGGAGGGAACCAAAGGTTGGATGGGTCACTTGATGACAGTGTTCATATTATGTTGCCACTGCCACTTGGCACAATGTATGGAGTCTTCTGCTTCTCCTGGAGTAAAGCCACCTGCCCAGGGCTGTATCACTGGAGGTTACCTTCTTCAGGAATTCCTCTTCCTCCAGTAACATCTGCCACTCCATCTTCATCTTGTCCTGCCTTTCCCAGGGAGTTGTAGGATGCCCCTTGGGTGTGCGCTCTGGACCTGTCTCATTCACACACTCCTTCTTAATGTCAGGTTTGTAGCTATCCTTCTCCTTGAAGTCCTGGGGAAAGCCACAGTACTTCATTTGCCTACTGTACTTGTCATCGATGGCCATCTTGTCTCCAATGCAGCACACAGCTGAGAGCAGGGACTTACTGGGGGCCTTCACTTGGGCCACCTTCTAAACTGTGGCATCCAGACCTTCATTCTGATAGAGGAGCAGGGTGGTAGCCAGCCCTCTGTTCACAATGGGCTTTTCTTCCAGGATGGTGGTAGAGGAGGCAGAGAAATCCTCATCCAGGTTGATGGTGTTCAGTCAATGCTCTCTTCCCCATCCAACTCAGAGCTGCCATTGGCTGAGTGCTCTTCATCCAGTTCAGAGTCCTCTTGCTCCTCCCAGGTGCCAGCCAGCCCATAAGTGAGATCTCCCCCAAGGTGTAGCATTGAACATTATGGCCCCCTTCTGCTCCAGATCTAGCCCCATCGGCAAGACTCCAACTCCTTAGCAACCTCCACCTTCTCACCACTGTTCCGCAGCTGCTGCAACTGCTGCAGGTGCAGCTGCCTAGCCATCACCTTCTCCTGCTGCTTCTGCAACTCCAGCAGCACCTCATTCTTCTCAGTGCCTCGGGGGACTCTGTCAACTGTGCTCCATTAGTCTCCTCATCACTGATGTCCATGTTCTCCACATGGGTATCATTTGATGGTGGGAGCTGGAGCACAGGCTCCTCCTTGGCAGCCTCATCTGCCACTCAGCATCAAACCCGGTCTCACAGCCTTGAACCAAATTCCCCATCTTGAGTCTTGAGGACAGTGAGTCATCTACCCACGTGACCACATCCTTTCTCTTCTCACATATTTTCTTCACTTCCTCTTGGTCTTTTTAAAAGTCACCAATGTTAGAGTAAACTGAGGCACCACTGGGACCACTAAGTCGGGCAAAGGTGAAGCAATGAACAAAGTTTATTCAAGCCTGGGTGAAGGTGGGCCAAGGCAGGAAAACCACTGGTCCCAAGGCACAGAGTTGGGGGGTGTTATAGGGGTGTTTGGATAGAAAAGGGGTATGCAGAGAGGAGTGAGAAATTTTTAGTTTGGGTTTCGGGGAGTGGGAGGGCAGGTGACATCTGTATCTTGCAAGTGCCACTGCCTAAAGAGGTGACTTGTTCATCTCCTTTTACAAGCTCTGGCTCCCTGTAATCTCTGTCTCTGAAGCTTAGGTCAATGCTCTGCTTGGGGAGTTTTTTCTTCTCTGGGCGGGGATTTGACAACCATCTCATGCATAAGGTACTTAGGAGCCAGCCCGAGTCTCACTGAGCTCAGGGACTATGCCTACAAATGCAGTTTGGCCCAGCTCCCTTCCAGCTCACACTCCCACAGGCCATCAGCTATGCCACCCTGCTCCAGCCAGGAGTGCAGCTGCTCATCCTCAGCTCCTCATCATACTTGGCCAGAACAGAGGGAGGTTTCTGCCGTGCCAGGTTTCGCTGCTCTCATCCTGAGAGCAGATAGCTGGGCTTCTTATGCAGCTCCACATTCTTCTCTGCCCACTCCGTATCCATCAGGTTCATCCTTCTCCTGCAGCACGCCTTTGTAATTGAGGGTGAGGACCACAGTCCTGCTCCCTCAGAACTCAACAGTATGCTCTACAGTGAGGCTCTGCAGGTCCCAGGCACTGTACAATCTTGCCAGCCCACTCAAATCCCTCCTCCATCAGAGAGCCGACGCCAAACTCTTGGTTCATCTCTCCAACAGCCTCATCTTCTTCTCTGCCAAGTCCTTCTCCTTCAGCAGCTGCCAGGTGCTCTCTATTCAGGCTTCGGTGTCATCCAGCCAGGGGTCATCCTCTCTCTGTGTCTTTACCTTCTCTAACTTACCTTCTGGCTCAACAGACACTTCTCCTTGACAGCTGCCAGTTTTTCCTGTAGCTCCTCTCGCTGTCACATGGCCATAAGGTTAATGACCGGTGCCCACCTCTTTCTTGACAGCACTGACTTCTAAGGGTTTCAGCCCCAACTTTGCTCAGGTTTATTGGTTTCCTCAATGTCGAGTAAGGAGGCATCTCCTAAGCTAGCTTTGGAGCTGGCAGCGGTCGTGGCCTCATAGTGGTCATCGCACCCTTCCCACCTCATTCACCTTACAGAGGACTAGTCCTGAACACACAGCCACCCATGCGCCACTCTGGGCTTCAGTTTCAGCTCCACGCCGCCCACTCCCACGCTCGCTCCCTGGTTCTCGGCTCCACTTCCGCCATCCGCCGCAGCTGACGCTCCTGCTGCCGCCCCCCACTTCGGTGCTTGTGCTTTTGTGCTCCGAAGCATCTGCAGCTGCTCGAAGCTATGGTTCCGGCTGCCTCTTTGTCTCTCTGCAGTGAGTCATTGCCCACCCCTCTAAGGCCTGTCTGCCAGAAGCCAGGAAACTGTGATACACGACAACTCAAATGGGTGCAGTTCCACGTGGCAGCGGGGCAGCCTCTAAACAAACTGGGAATACTTCCGGGTCACGTGGCAGCTGTGGAGCTACTACGAAGCACAATGGGAACACTTCCGGGTCATGTGGCTGCAGCGGAACACTACAAAGCACAATGGGAATACTTCCGGGTCAGGAGCCAACCTCATGAGCCAGCCTCGTGACCCAGAGCATTTCTCACCCTCTTGCGGGGCAGCTGTGGCCGCCGCTGTGCTGCCCATGTGGTGAAAACAGTGGAGGACAGAAAAGCATTTCCAGAAGACAGAGCCAGGCTCCAGTGTCCCTGCCTCCCTCACCTAACAGGAAGACCTGCAAATGCCCAGAGGCCCCTTGGCAGTGGATTTTCTTCTCTGATTGATAAAGACTTCTTTTTAATGAGTTGGGAAATGAAGCATGGAGATTTTTAGCAGAAATGCTCATCCCACTCCTCCACAACCAGACTCACTGCCTGATCTCAGGGTGCGAACTGTATGACAGGAAGTAGAGACTGCTGGAGGACCCAGCAGCTGGCCTCACAAACCCCTGTGGCGTGGGAACCTGAGGTCACAAGTGACTCCAGGGAAAGGAGCCACCTACCAGGCCATTCAGTCAGAAAGGCTGGGCCTTCTGTCTTCTACCCCTGTGACAGGAACAGACTTGCCTTCTCGGAATTCAGCCCGTCGGTGTCATCATTTACCTGGTGGGGCCCTTCTGTCCTGTCTGCTCTTCTTCCAGCTTCTCTCTTGCTGCCTCTCCCATCTCCCCATTTCTAACTGTCTTTCTTTCTTCCTGCCTTTCTTTTTAAGTCTTCTTGGTCGAGCTGTGATTCACAGCTTTCCCCTCTCTGTTTCTCCCCTGTTGCGCAGCCCCTGCCATGAAGCCCCCTGCCAGTGCAGTGTTGGGGAAAGAGGGGTGAGCACGCCGGGACAGGCCATCCGCTCTGCTCGAACTCTCAGGGAGCGTCAGTGAAGAAGTAAACCAAGTTGAAACTAAAAGATGATTTATTTGAAGTTGAAGAAAAAAGAAGGTAGATGTAGATAGCTACGCTGGCCAAGTAAGGAGCACTGGAAAGTGAAATACTCAGGATTTCTTGTCTGTGGGTCCTTTTTATGCCTTGTCCTGTGGAGGCTCCTGGACTCTGGCTCCCCTTAATTTCTTCTACTCACCAGACCTTTCCTGTTGTTTGGTGGAGGCTCGGATTATGAGTGGGATACTTAAAGACAAGTAGTTTAGGCCTAATATTAAGTAAAAAAGTTTATATTGATCACATTACTTGGAATCTCATTGTTTTTTGTCTTTGTCTTTCTGAATACTGGAGTCTAGCTGCCTTTTTCTAATTGGTTGAGCCTAATCTGCTGAGCCAGGGGCTGCCTCTAGCTGCCCTTAGTCTTTCATTAACTTCTAACAAAGCTCAGCGAGACCATCATGCATCTTTTCCCTATCTACAATCCCCTGTCCCCACACTAGCTCTTACCATTGAATTAAGCTAGTCACTTCCCCTTCCTGACCAGTATCAGAGTCTGAGCTGAGTCTTAACTAAAGTCACTTAAATGCTGCTCACCAACCAGCTAATATACAGTATTCACATTAGTTGTTTTAACAGTTTTATTAGGATATAATTACATACAATACAGTTCCACCATTTCAAATAAACAATGACTTCTGGCAAATGTATTCAGCGTGTAATCGCTACCAGAGTCAAAATAGTATTTGCATTTCCTTAGAAAGTTTTCTTGCCTATTTGGCTGTTGGCAACAATCTGTTTTCTGTCACTATGGCCCAGGTTTTCTCTCATTTTTTAGAATTGCATATGAATGGCATCACATACCATGTAGACTTTTTTTTTTTTTTAGCATGCAGACTTTTGTGTTTCATGTCTTTCACTTAGGGTGATCATATTTCATCCATATCGCATATATTGGTGAGGAGTATTTCACTGTGGTTATACCACAATATGTTTGATTTACTGTAGATTGGGCTTTGGGTTGTCAGTTTGAGGCTAAAATGAATAGTTGCTATGAACATTCACATACAAGTCCTTGTGTGGACATATGTTTTCATTTCTTTTAGGTGCTGCTTTGAAGATTGCTGAGTCGTGTGTTAACTATATTTAAGTTTTTGACTGATTGGTCTGTTTTCCAACATGCTTGTATCAATTTGCCTTCCCACTAGATGTGTATTAGAACTCTTGTTCCACATTCTCATCAGTATGGTTGGTCATTTTAACTTTAATCAGTTTCAGAGTTATATAGGTGCAGAATCTCCTTTTGTTTAATTTGCATATCGTTAATAATTACTGAGATTGGGCATCTTTTCATGTGCTTCATTTAATATATTCTATTTTGTAGTACCTTTTGCCCATTCTTTTTTGGGGTTTTCTTCTTATGTATGTATTATAAGCGTTTCCCCGATCTTTTTTATCTTACTCTTTCCTTCATTCTTCCTCTCTCTAGACCTATTATCCAACTATTCTGTCTGCCTCAGTTTAACTCTACTATTCCAGTCGTCTTCCTCTGTGTCCCCTTTCTCACTCATTCTTTCCCTTTCTTACCTAGGGTACTTCAAATCCTGAAAATCTGACTTTTTTTCCCCATTCCATGTTCGTAAATTACTCCATTGCAAGCCCATAGATTTCTATCCTGGCCATCATCAAGTGTCCAAAATGGGAGAAAACCCTCTCCCCAGATGAAGGCCTACAGAAAAAAAAAATAGAGAGCCTGGCATAATGGAGAGATGGCTTATCACTTGGCACCTTCTTCCATCCTAAAGGATTAATGGTGTTTATGGATACAGGAGCTTTTGCTGAAACACAACATTGAAAGTCAGGAGTGTTAAGTGTAGCTCATCCTCTTGAATTGGTGGTTCAAGAGCCTTCACACACCTAAGATTACTTGTTTGCTTAACAAGCCTCTCCCTTGACACATAGCCCACATCCAGCAGCATCTCCTTCCCTGAAGACACTAGTGTAACAATATTTGTCTTCAAAATGTAGAACATACTATGTGCAGTGTTGAGTGACCTCAGTGAAAGATTGTGCAATTATTCTTAAGAGGTCTGTTGAGCTATAACTCACTTACTATACAGTTCACCCTTTCAAAGTGTATAATTCAGTGGGTTTTTTGTATACTCACAGGTACTGTATGTATAATTATTATTATAATTTTAGAACATTTTACCACTTTGAAAAGAAACTCAGTACTCTTAGCTATCACTGAACTCTTCAGCTATCATTCTTATCATCCTTTATCCTCTTAACTCCTGAAAACCATAAATTTACTATCCATGTCTATCAGTTTGTCTATTCTGAATATTTTATATCAATGAAATCATAATATATGATCTTTTGTATTTGCTTTCTTTTGTTAAGTATGATGTTTTCAAGGTTCATCTATGTTCTAGTATCACTGCTTGACTTCTTTATGGCTAAATAATATTCTATGAAGTGGGAATATACCATTTTCTTTATCTAAATTTGAGCTTTATCCACCTTTTAGTTATTTATTATGATACAAGTTTTTGTATAATCATATTTTTATCTCTCTTCAGCATACAGTAGATATTTTTCCTGGGTATATCTACTAGGAATAGACTTATTAGGTCATCTGGTAAGCATATATTTAATCATTTAAGGACCCACCAAGCCGGTTCCCAAAAGAGTTGAACATTTTATGTATCTACCATAAGTGTATAAGGATCTAAGTTTTCTATTTTTTTTACAAACACTCATTATTATCTGAAGGGGATGGGTTTGTTTTGCTTTTTTGGGGGGGAGGGGAGGACAAGGCCTCATTATGTAGTTCAGGTTGGCCTTGAACCTACTATGTAGCTCAGGCTGGCCTTGAACTTGTGACAATACCCCTGCCTCAGCCTCCTGAGTGCTGGGATTACAAGTGTGTGCCACCATACACAGTAGGAATGATTTTTTAATCTTACAGACCATCCTACCCAGTAGAAATGGTTTTTTAAATCTTACAGACCCAGGAGAAATATCTTCTCTATGCCCAAAAGCTCACACATATATACACAACCACATACACATTTATATAATGACTGGTCTAAAAGCAGACAGAAAACTATATAGTGGTGCCTACCTGCACACTCCTGTAGAGCTCATGTACATAACAAACTTATAGTCTAGTTTAGACACTTGTAGAGATACTTGTTTTGTAGTATACTTTTAGTTTGTCAGTCTTTCTCCTCCTGTTTATCTATTTCTCATCCAAAAATGTGGATTAATAAGCTACTCTTAATAAGGATTAAATTCACTGACACTTCTAAAGCACGTAAAACTGCCTGGCAAATTCTGTTCTGAATCAGTACTAGCCACTGTATTTTCTGAAATCAAGTTTTCACAGAGGCGCACACTAAAAGATGGGCAGAGTGAGGGGCAGGGCAGCACCCCATTGACCGAAATGGACAGCTTTCCTTTCACCCCTGTACTTGAGCAGTCTTCCTGGTCACTCCAGCGAGCCATACACTCATCTGTTCCACTCTACACTACCCAAATCACAAGCCACAGAGAAGATGTAAGGTGGTTGGGGTAGGCTAGCTCTTGCTTTTCAGTTGCGTCAAGCCTTTCTGTGGCAGGCTTGTCTGCTACAGGCCTGGTTTGTGGCATTCATCGGCTCTGCTTGGCTGTTTTCTGTCTGTATAGGTCAGCATTTATCATCCTGCACCTGCCTCTTCGGGACATTCCATGACTATGGTCAGTCTGCCCAGCTCCCAGCAACACCTGTCAGCTAACATGTGAGTAAAAATGCTCAGTCTCCACCTGTGGTTCTAGCACAGATGGGTCATCATTGACAGCCTTTGGCCATCAAACATTCCTAGGTACAAACCAAATCATCCAATCCTGAGAGAAAACAACTCTACTTCCCTTAACACTGCCAAAGGAAGTAATGATGTAAAACAAAAATTAAAAAATCACAACATCCTAGCTCATTATACAAAAGCAGAAAAAGATTGCAAGATCACAACATCACTGGAAGATTGGATATTGAGCTATTTCTATTGTCTTTCTTTAGATTCAAAATGTTGGGTCATAAAAAGATGTTGATTTCATAATCAGCAAAAGAAAATACAGTGTGGAGAGGAGCAAAAACAACTTGTAGATGAGAACATACTCCTAACTTCTTTGATAAAACATCTTAGTGACTCGTAGTCTTTAGAATCTCAACAGCTTTAGAAGAACTTGCTAGTTTGTATACTAAGAGATAGTCAGTCTAGTGACCCCTGAATCCAACAAGACAAACAGGTTATTCTTTAATCCCTTCAACCTAGCAGCTATTCACACTCATTCAGCTTTAAGTTTCACTGTTACTTCTCTTTACTTCCCTGACTAGTTGTTACCTAAGTGATTTTTAAAGACTTTAGAATACAAAGTCTGTTCTAACTTGAGGACATTTTTACCTTGTCCTGTTATAAGCTCACTCCCCTCCATCCCGCCTTGGAGCTACTATTCCGTTGGGTGCCAAAGACCAAAAATCAACCCTGGTTTCCCACTTCCCAATGTACACTTTTCTGCCTATTTCAGCTAGCTCCTTATCCCTTCCTAAAGGTTGAACATGTCCTTACTCTCACTTGTAGGAATGGGTCAAAGAGACTGTTGTCCTGACCTCTCATTTCCCTGAGCCTTCACAGTCTTCTTGGGAAACACACCACAGCAGTGAAAAAGTGTGCCAGGTGGACACTACTTGTAGGTTTGAGACCCATCTCTGCCACTAATTCCTAGACTCCAAAGCTTTTCTCCATGTGAAGCCAGTTTTCCCATTGCTAAAATGCTGATATAGACCTAAGTTAGTGATTTGCACCTATGTGGTGCTGCGTGGAGCAGGGTAGAAATGGAGAAGCAAAGACCTGCCCACCTCCACTGCTATTTGAACCATGGTATCACACTTTGATCTGCATTCATGTTGAGGTTTCAAATTGTTAAAGGATTTTCTTGCTAGGCACTAGGTGAGTGCTCTGGGGTCTATTCCTATGCCACTGGTAGGCTCTATCCCCTCCATTGGCCATGTTCACCTTCCTCTCTCACAGTTCCCTGTGTTTCCCAGGTTTGTGGCCCTGCACTCCTACTCAGCCCATGGACCCAATGAGCTGGACCTGCAGAAAGGAGAAGGTGTCAGGGTCCTGGGGAAGTATCAGGATGGTTGGCTGCGGGGCGTCTCCTTGGTCACTGGGCGAGTCGGCATCTTCCCAAACAACTACGTCATCCCCATTTTCAGGTGTGTCCCCTCCAATCTCAGACTTCAAGACATTGGGTCATCCTAGACCAGTGACCACTTGTGGGTTGAACTCATGAAGACCATAATTTTGCCCTCTATCCTAACTCTTTTTAAAAAATACACAACAAAAGCAATTTTTATAGCTCTTCATACTTTACCAGCAGTTCTGCTTCTTTTAACTCACTGACCATGCCTAATAATCTTGTATATATTATTTTACAGTTGAGGAAACTGATGTGCAAGGTTAGTCAACTTGGTTAAGAACTAGATTTCAGGTTTTCTTCTGCACAAGTACCAGAAACCCCACATTCACATCCTATACCTAACACTCCATCTAGTGGAATAACCAGAAAGTGAACCAGATGACCTCCTCAGAGGACCCAGGGAAAGTTCTCAGGAGGCTACGCCATTGGGCATAATTTTCATGAACTCAGATCACTAAGTATTCTTCCACACTCCAGAACAAATGCTAGTTACCCTGCAGATCTTTTTCTCTACCAGCTTGTGCCAGCTTTTTCATTCTGCAGCACACCTGTTAATTTCATTGACCCACAGAGTATCCTGCTACGTCACACTGTGAGCTAACCACAAATGCACACAGACCCCAAAGCCACTTACCACTCCTCCTACCTCCACCTCCTTCAACCCAAGCACTATACACCAAACACTGTCTTTATGACATACTAGGAGATCACAGCACCAGGGAGAGTGACAGGCCCATTGTACCTTGTAAGGGTCAGACCAAGAGTCATATATCCACTTTGGGGGACCTTCATTGAGGCTGGACACTATCTGGAGGAGGGCCACAAAGATGGTGAGAAAAAAGCAAACTTTGTCAGTGGAGAAACTGATAAAGAAACTAGGCTTGTTTCACCTGTAAAGGACAAAGGGCAGAGGGCTCCTAAGAGGCTGTGTAAACCTGGAGGTAGATTTGTTACAGAAGAAGGCAGTGGGCGATACAAGTCAGGATGTTTTAGTTCAGAAGGAAGTACATTCTAAGCCAAAGGAACAGCAGATAAAAGGCCCCGAGATCGGAGTGTGCTGACGCAAAAGCCAACAGGATTAGAGCAAATAAGCACAGATGTGAGCAAAATCATAAGGGGACCACTTATCTAGAATCTCCTAGGTTAAAATGAAAGAGTTTATTTTAACCTCATTGCAATGTTTTGAACAAAACAGTGACATGATCTAAATGTTTAATAAAAATCTCTCTAGGTGCTGTTGAGTATATATTATAGAAAATAAAGGTTGGAGGCAAGAACACTAGTTAAGAGTATACTGTAATATTCTTGGGGAGAGGTGGTATTGAACAAAGGGTTGTTATAACACCAAGAAATAGTTAGAAGCAGTTCGAGTCTGGAAATAGTCTAAAGTTAGAGGCAATGAGAATCTCAAAAGACAAGATATCAGCTTGTTAAGGAATAGAGCATTCAGTGTGAATTCAAGTTTTTGCCCTTGATTGAGATTGAGTGTAACATGAAGTCGCCTTTTAGTGAGATGGTGCTGATGAAAACCACATGAGAAATACATTGTGAGGTATGGGGGAAGCAAAAGCCCAATTCCAGTAGACTGAGTCTGAGATGCCTATTCTTAATCCAAATAAAGATATTGGTAGCAATTAAGTATACCAGTCTAGCGTTTAAGAGAGTTCCAAGCTCGAGATGGTATTTCAGCCCTCAAATTTGATGAGATCATCATGGCAAGATCTGTTGTATCAAAGGACTGAGAGAAAAAGCAAGAGGCTGGACTAGGACCATAACAAGATAAGTTGGTAGATGGTAGAATCTGATAATATCAGTCAAAGCTAATAAGTACTCAAGAGCACAAGGAATGATTAGAAGAAAGTGAGGGCCCAGGACATGCCTTTCTTACTTTAGGAACATGCTCTCTGACAGGACCTCTCCCAGATCCATGCCTACTACTGAGTTACTTGCTTATACAATAGACTTTAGCCCCAAATCCTGCTTATGCCACCAAAGAACCATTAGAATAAGAGTGATCAGATACTTTGTCATCTAAACTATAACACTTTAAGCAGGTACATGCTGAATCTCTCCCAGGAAATCAGCATGTGTGGTCAGCTCCACTAGAAAGCATGTATGCCTCCATCTCAGCATATTTCAGGACTCTTAACTTCCACCTCTCTCCTGCTCTTTTCCCCTGGGTGAATGTATTGTGCTTGTGGACACATAAGCCCTTATAGTCATCACTTCTGAGATGGACCCATGTCACACAGCAATAGAGATTCGCACCTCAGGGTGGCACCTCACAGCTCACAGAAATCAAAACATTTGTGTATTTTAAGGCACTGCTAGTATTCAGGCATGATTTTTCTTATGATGAAAGAGTATTCCCTAACACAACAAATCCTCATCCAGGAGCATGTTTCTGAAGTTTATTAGGTACAAAGAATCAATGCTTTTTCAGCATTGTAATGCTTTCCTTGATGGTCTTTCTGATACAAGAAAGCTCCCATCCCAACTAACCTTGAACATAAATAACATCTGCCCTGAGTGTCTATCCGGGTTCAGCTGAGCCTTACCCATTGGTTCTTATCCATACTTTCCACTGTGGGAAGTTTCATTCTCTCCACTTCTCAGGGATGGAAAGTGCTGTCCTTTGTCAGTTGAGTTTCTACTGCTATTTCCAAATGATGTGTGAGAACTTAGTGGGTTGGGCTACCTGTCCACGGCTCCTTTCTGTCCTGTGCTTCTGTGTAGGTTTTGACTCCCTGGTCTTTGTTTTTGTGTACAAAGGTGGCTCTGCACTGCTATCCAACCCCTTTGTGTGTAGTACAGACTTCTATGAAATAGGGCCAGATATTTGGAGTGGCTCCTAAGCATTAGAATCTATACTCTTAGTAGTGTCTCTCCTGAATAAATGGAGCCGGCCTGAGTATGGAAATTATCTACTACCAGAATTGACCAAAGTACCAGGGTTTGTATTTAGGATTCACAAAGTAAGTCTTTCTACTAATGAGACTCAAAAGGGCTGCTGTGCCACTGTGTTCTCTGGCCCTCTAAGTTAAATACTGACACCAACCTGGCTACCTCTTCTTGACAACTAAATCTCTGCCATCAAATCCTAGAGATATCTGTGGGTTCAGGTTGTAGCACACAGCTGTCGAATTTTTCTCTGTGTGGCATCCTTCTTGATTGTACCAGCATCTCGAGTCTCCTCTGCTATGTAGTCCTGGGGGGAGACATATCTTCCCTCTCTTTTCAAGGCCAAAGAAGCCAAATGCTCCTCCCAGTCTTCCTCAACCCATCATGTGGCTAAGGATGAGGCTCAGCCAATCTTATAGTCCTTCTTAGAACACTGAAACTTGCAAGGAAGGAATCGATGCTGGCAAAGTTGATGACCACTCAGGAAAGCACTAGGAAGAACATCTGACTCCACACTTGTTGCTGCAAATTTATTTGCAGAACCCTTTGAAGCCTCCTTGGATTCTCTTTCCAAGTTCTTTCCTCCCCCTTCCATCCTCCCAACAAATTCCCTTCTGCTCCCTTAGTCAGGATATTTCTGTTTCTTGCATACTTCACAGACACATAGGTGCATATGGATGGACAATTATTTCTTGTCCTTCAGCACTCTATACAGACTATATAAAGTGGCTATCATTGACCTTCCTTCTTACCAGGAGGCTGTGCCAGTGGTGGACCCAGCAGAGCCGCTGTTTGTAATCTCCCTTTTGAGTGTTGAGTAGGGTCTTAGAGGTAATGTCCCAGAAGACATAGAAAAAGACACAGGGACCTGTTTAATGAAGCAAATCAGAAGCAACATCCACTCCTCCCACATACATCCAGACTATCTTTCAGTCTCCTCTGGAAAATAAGGATCATAATGTCTTCATGGGGATTAATTAATACATGTTAGCAAAGTACTTTGATGTTGGTAAAAAGTGTTAGGTAAGTGCTAAGCTTTTTGCCAAAAGACATAGAGGGACTCAGTGTTGGATAGGAGATGGGGTTTGGGAGTTCCTGGTATGTGGCCCACTGCTGGGTTCAGAAAAATGAAATCATGCCTCAGTCCTTAAACAGTCATTCAAAGAAGGGACTGGCAGAATAAGGCTAGCTTGGGCCTAATTAGCAGTATTCTGTTCTTGCTTTTGCTGCTGCTGCTGTGACTGATGGAAACAATTTTGGAACCTGTCTTTCCTCTCACTAATCCATTTTGTAGCTTCCAACTCCTTGAGGCTCTGTTCAAAAGATGGGCAGATCATCTGTACCCTGCCATGGAAGCCAGTGTTTAGGACTCCTCTCCACTGTCTAGGTCTCATCTCCAGAATATTGACTGGTGGGAAGCCCTGGCCTCTTCAGTGTCCCTAACCACCACAGAAACCAGAGGCAGACTGACAGCTGCAAATAGAAGTGTCTTGCTGCCAGCATGAGTTCTTGGGAGCATTTGGCTACATACTTCCTGGTCCACATTAGCCACAATTAAGTGACGCCTTCGCTATCTTCATGTGACAGTGATTCATTATTAAACTACATTGTCTTTCTTCTAATAAAAAGGAGAGAAAGGAGGAAAGAAGAGAAATGATAGGAAAGCCTGGGGGCACTGACAAGAAGGAAATCATGAGAACATCTCTGTGCTAGGGTCTTGGTTGAGTTTGTCATTCCTGGGGAATTAGCAGAGGTTACTGAATCAGCAGGGTACCGGGGTGATGGGTAGGAGAGGTGATGTGGGGGGCTGGGTTGATAAAGAAAAGAAATGCATGTGACTATCAGCCATTCCCCAGGGAGTTCAGGGAGTTGCAGGCTGGAAACAATAAACAAGGGACTGTTGGTTTATAATGTTCTTAAGAAATCACAGCCTATGACTGAACAATTAAGATCCGATGAAGGCATGTGCAGGGGCTGTCAGCTGCTTTAGTTCATTGATTTTGGGCAGAATAAAAGGTTTTTCCTAACCACTAGGTGGTGTAGCTAGCTCAGAGGTAAGAAAAGGGGAACTGGATTCAAATCTCCAATCTAGCAACTGCTTGAGTAAGTGTAAATCTCTGTATTTTTTAATATATAAAGTAGTGGTGCTAACAGTACAGTCTCAAAGGCTGTTGTAAAGAACTCATGCATTAACATAGGCAAAGATCTAGCATACAGTGAGGACTCAACCCACATAAGAAACCACAACAAATGGCATCACGGTAGCCACTCAACAGACATTAATCAACAATACATGCCATACACAGAGGATAGAAAATAGCACTATAAAATCTGCCTTCAGAGAATTTAGAATCTAGTGGGGCCACCACTGAATGAGAGATTACCACTGCAAAATGAAATGAACAAATGCAAGACCTTAGCTCTGAATTCAAGGGCTTAAGGGATGCACTGAGGAGTGATCAGAGCTACAGTGAAACATGAAATTCAATCCAGTGCCACCAGGGCCTCCTTAGGAGCCCCTCACCTGCCCTCAGCACTCCCGTACAGCTCTCCAGAGCCAGGGAGGCGGGGCCCGCTTAGTTCAGCCTGGGGTTTACAAAAAGTGCGTGTAGTAGGAAGACAGTGAGCTAATAGTTTCCTTTTAAATAGGACTCATGACTGAACGTTTTCCTTTTCTATTTCTTCTCCCTTAAAACAAAATGTATGTTCAACAATCAGAAAGGCCTCTAGTTGTCCAGAGTCCCAGAGCCCTGGTGTCTACACTACATGGACATTATCCACCTCTTCTGTGTCGTCCCAAGGCAGCGTTTCAGAAGGTGACCCACAGCAAAGCCGTCCTTTCAAATCGGTCTTCGTGCCCACAGCCATAGTCAACCCAGTGAAGAACACAGCTGGCCCGAGAGCTTCAGGCCAAGGATCCTTCCGGAAGGGACGGGGCAGCATGAGAAAGAGTAAGTGGTGGCAGAGAGGTACGTGCTTAGAGCTAAGTCACTGTGGGCTTGGGCACCCCAGGGCACACGGCGTGCTTTTGACAATCGCGGAATCTGGGCTTTAGGGTGACCCTCTTCAAAGAGCACTTTGTCATTCCCAAACAATTAAGTATTGTATTGGAGCCAGACTTACTGAAGGTCACTGCCCTGGGTTGCTTCCTGCATGAATGGTAACGCAAAGATGAGAGCAATCATGGATGCTGATACATAATTAGAACACAGCCAGAGTAAACACTGGTCCTATGAAGATAGACTGACCAGAGCCTATGCCGGGTCAGTGATTGTGCTCTAGGAAAGTCCGCAGGAGGTCAGCAGACAAGAGCTGGAGGTAGGAGATGGAAATGGAGGAAGCAGCTCTCTGAGTCCCTTCGTTTTTATGTAATGTATGTACAGTTTTTTTAAGGTTACAGCATAAAAGTGTACAAAAGCTAATGTCCTTCATTTCCTTAGCCCTCAGTTAGATTTCAATAAATAGGAAGACAGATAGATAGACTGTTAATTATGCTCACCACACACACCTTGCTTTTATTTTTCCCTACATAATATCTACATTGCATCTTTCTGTCATTTGAGGAATTCTGTTTTTGTTTGTACCAGAGATCGAACTCACAACCTTGCACTTGCCAGGCAGGCACTTAAACCACTGAGCTAAATCCTCAGCCCCCATCTCTTAATGTATTGAATTTCTACATCAGATTTCATTTTGGAGGATCCTAAAAAGTCTTTGAAACTCTGATCTACAAAACTTCAAGGGTTTCTTCCTCTGTAACCAGCCAAATGCAATAAATATGATTTCTTCTGTTCTCCCTGCATTAAAACAGGGCTCTGTAATCTCTCTTGCAGTCTTAATGAATGACTAAACATGAAAATGATACACAGTGAATTAGACCAGAAAAGTAACATGGAGGACAATACTTCATGCATGAAAATTCCCTAAAAGAAAGGGAAGTATCTTCACCATACCCTGTCCCGGTGTTTCCAACAGACAGCCTGTTGGGCCACCAGTCACACACACACACACACACACACACACACACACACACACACACGTGCCTCAGTTCACAAACTTGATTCTTTGCATGATTCTGGTTGTAAACTGTTGGATGAGAACTGAATCAAATTCGGTGGTTAGTACAATGTTGGCCACATGGGGAAATTTGATTCTGTTCTCAAACAGTTCTGTTTGTGACCAGAATCGAGAAGAGAAGTGAGTTTATGAACCAAGGTGGCACTGTCTATACCACAACCCTGAGCCAGTTACTAACCTCTTCTCATTTGTAAAATGGAAATGAAAACAATACTTACCATATATAGGGATCTAATAAATAATCTAGCAGACTGATGATATAGTTCCTGGTATATAAGCTCTCAAGACACTTAGGGTTTTTAAAAATATTATTTTATTAGTAAATAAACTTTATCCTTGCTACTACAATGAAATAGGTCATCTTTGGTCTGTCCAGAACTCATTCAGGGTCAAAGCATTCACACTCAGTTTAGACCACTTCAGAATACTGAGAATTGCAGCCCACTTTCTTTTATAAGAGTGACACACTTTCTTTTATAAATTCCTTCTCTACCTCCACATAAATCTTGATTGACTTAGAGCTTTGACTGTTTGCATTATATGCACATGTGATAAGAAAACATTAAATCTCTTGAAAATAAGAAACCAGCAAGATAGATAGCATGAGCCAATTTTTCACTCATTTATGGGAGCCTCAGGACATGTCTTCCCAGCATTAATTTGACTTCCTGGGTCCTGGAGGTTTTTTCTTTCTCCCTTTCCCCAAGGTGAGACTGGTTGAGCTATCAATCTTCCCAGAGCACAGAGAAATGACAGGAGAATTGACCGTGTGCACCTCGCAAGGCTGTCAGTGGAAAAATAAATGTCTGAATTGAAAGGTCAGGCTTGTGTAAATGGTGACAGGCTTGCTCAGCACAGCTGGGAAAGCCCACTGTGGTTAGGGAGTGTCCCGCTTTTCATGTTGCCTTCCAGCTTGACAAAGAGTCATAGTGCAGAACGTGGCCTAGGATCAGACCTCTTAAGTTAGATGTAAATGACTTTGAGTCAAATACGTATCCATGGAGTATCAGAAGTCACCAAGATCTCAGGCTGGGACATAACCTATGACTCTGTGAATCCTGGGAGACTCTTGAGAAATGGCCTGCAGTGTTTCTCAGGGATGTGTCCCCCATTTCCTCCCAGAATGCAGTGAACCCCTGTTTCCCAGGTCACCCAAAGGACACACACCCAAAGGGATAAGAATCTCTTACCTTAGAGAATTCCAAGAGGAATGATTTCCTCTTACTTAAGAAGGACTATCCTTGTGTCTTAAAAAATGAGTTCAGGAAAAGACAAAACCAGACTCTTGAACTTTGTGTTTTTGGAGTACACTGTCTGTTGCCCAGAAATAAAAGATAGCTAATGAACAGGGCATCTGTTGTGTTCCAGGCACTATGTGACTGACATTTCGTACACGTTACAAGTTGTAACCCTCATCTGCCCCATGATGTCCTGTTCCTGACTCCAGTTTTTCCGATGAGGGATCTGAGGTGGGGGACGGTGCTGTGACTTCCTTGTCCTGGCCTCCCTGGGACAAAGTCTGATTTGAGATTCTGTGTCAGGAGTCTTGTAGAGCTCCTCTGCACACAGCCCTAACTCTGGAATACTGTTTCCAAATTTGCCTGTTTTGCATCCTGCTTCTCAGGCACGCATGCTGTCCCTGCCATTCACCCTTCCACCCTGCAGGGACTCCTAAGCACCCCCACCTCGTGCCTAACGCTCTGTCAGAGATTTCTTTAGCAAGTAACAGGTTAGAATCCTCCTCCCCACTCCTCTCATTTCCTCTTTTCCTCCCTCTTGTTTGTGTTTCTTAATTTCTGCTGTCTCTTGTTTCCTCTGTGGTTTATGTGCCATTATGTCTGCTTCTCACTGTGAAGCTATCCTCATGTCTCTCTTCTTCACTGTCCATTTTAAGTCTTGAAAGAAGCAAATAGGTGTGTGTGTGCGTGCGTGCGTGTGTGTGTGTGTGTAAAATAGTGAGAAAGAGGGAAGCCAAATAGAAGCAATATACCTCTAACACACATGCATACCATTAGTGAGCCAGTTATTTACTGTCTGTGTCAGCAAACAGCACTAAAAAAAGAATAAGGTCACCTTAGAAAGACCCTGGGACAGAGAGCACAGTCAAATGAGGAAAGCACTTAACTATTCCAGGATATCAGGACGCACAGCTTATCCAGCCCTCACCCCGCCTCCCTCCTCCACCCCCACTGCTGATATCTCCGTCTTATATTCCCCCAGATGGGTCCCTGCAGAGACCGGCCCAGTCCAGGATCCCCACCCTTGTGATGGGCTCCCTCAGACGCAACCCCACCGTAGTGGCCGGGCCTCAGCAGTTCCAATTCTACCAGCCACAGGGAGTCTCCTCCTCCCCCTCCATGGAGATGGGGCTCAAGCCTGCTTCCTCCACCGGGGAGCCTGCCCCCACCTGCATCAGCAGAGGCAGTGAAACCAGGGTCCACTCGGCAGCCAGTTCTCTCATTGTGGAAGGCAAAGAAGTCCCCACCAAGAGCGAACCTCCACCGAAGCCACCTGCATCTGCCCCTCCATCCATCCTAGTGAAACCAGAAAACTCAAAGAATGGCACCGAAAAGGTAGGAGAGGAGGGCCACTGAGAGCCAGACTCTTCCTAGTGTCCAGCGCTGTTCATAGCCCCTGAGTGTCCCAGCTCCTGAGATCTTAGTGTCAGTGGGACAAGGACCCAAAAGAGCAGCCACAGAAGAATCTGCACTCTACTCCGCCTTCCCCTCCCTAGACATGGTACTGACTCCCCTCTATGCCCGTCAGAGACTTCATACATCTGTTTATGAGGTCTGATGGCTTAGAATAAACATGATTTTGGCATCAGACAAATCTTGATTTGAATTCCAGCCTTGCAACTAGCTGGCTGGTGGCTTTGGCTAAAACAGTTTACCCTTCTGAACATTTTTTTTTAATTCCACAAAAAGGAGGTAAGAATAGTCACACAGGATTGGAGAGATTAAATGATGTAACTAATGTATGTAAAGTGCTTATGAAGGGGCTTGACACATAATTATTCATTATGTCAAAGAGCAACGGAGACTCAGGATTCTAAGTACTATCAAGGTCACACTGAACAATGACAACTCCCACAGTTAATGTACCATGACCTCTGTGGCAGAGGTCGGACCCATTAACTCCTATCCAGACCTCTTTACACTGGGGAACAGGAGTTTTTGAAATACCCCTGAAGCAAGAAGGATCTGGAAAAGAGGAAGACATTAAGAAAATTTAATGATATTCATTGTTATCTTTGAATCTTTTAACGTCACTGCCACTGAGGTGTCACCATTACCGTCACCACCACTAGCCTACCCTCACCCATCCTCCCCATGACAGGAAGAAGATGTAGCTTCCTCCTATTTGTTAAGCGTTTCCCGAATACTAACAACCTGCAGGCACTGTGCCCAGTGCGTCACATTTCCCATCTCAGTTAATCCTGATGACAGGCCTCTGCCGTAGGTATTATTTTCGTCTTCATTTATGGAGCCTTAGGGAGCACAAGGTCATCCTCAAAGCCACACAGCTGACATACTCGAGTGTCTAGCGTAGAATCCACACCTGACATAAAACACTCAGGCTCTTCCTTCTTACCTCGCAAGTCACACAGACACAGGCAATCAACAGTCATTTGGGAGTTCCTAGTCTAAAAGATTGTTATCTATGAACAAGAATACAGTTGGAGATGACATGTGAAGGACAGGTAGACAGCATGTCAAAGTAAATGGTAAATATTTAAAATATTTTCCTATCAAGCATCTGAAGGATGGTGGAATATTCTGTAAGAAAAAAAAAAAAACTCAGGCTTTTAACACTAAGCTGTGAGCTCACAGGAAAATGCATTTGGAAAAAAGTTGCGACTGATGTAAGTGTTGGGAGTTCTCATTCTGCCTCAGAGTATTCAATAATTTAAAGTTTGCCAGCCACAGCTGCCCGGTAAACCCCTCAAACTGTGTTAATATGTCTCCAGGTCTCAGCTAGACATGGTGAAAGTCAAAACATGAAGAAATTTTGGGGTACCAGCTTTGGATACAAGGATTCAATTTCATGGGAAAAGGAAATTATTTCCAGTATCTACAGAATACCCAGCCAAGCCCTAAGACGAGGATTGGCTGTGCCTCCAGGACTTTCCCTGCCTCGGCCCATCGCAGCTGTGGTTCTTCTCCGAATTCTCAGCACAAAACTTCCCCCTCTATGTGCACTTGTTAGGTTTCTCTGTTTGCGTTTGTTCACTTTGGGATTCACAGCTCCTAAAAGAGTGCACCATGCAGAGCACACACTTTTAGTAAGCACAAGTATTTGCTGAATGAACAACACATCGACGAGGCTTTCTGAACAGGGACAACTGTGGAAAAACAGCCTGAACTCGCCGGGGAAACAGTACACATCTCACCCATGTTCCTTTTCTGCTTTGTCTTGCAGCAAGTAAAAACCGTGAGATTCCAGAATTACAGCCCTCCTCCCACCAAACATTACACCTCCCATCCCACCTCTGCGAAGCCTGAACAGCCAGCCACCCTCAAGGGATCTCAGCCCGAAGCAGCCTCCTCAGGCCCAGAGATGACCGTCCTGTTTGCACACCGAAGCGGCTGCCACTCCGGACAACAGACAGACTTCCGAAGAAAGTCAGTGTTTGGCAAGGCCACAGCCCCAGTGCCCACAGCCTCCACCACACAGATCACATTTCCCAGCAAATGAATCTATAGGTGGCTTTTCCTAGAATCCACAGAGGCGGATTGCATTTAAATACAGTGTGCTTCTACTGAGGACAGCCTGCTATTCTTTGGGGACTCGGTCTGCTCACTTTTACCTCCAAGAAAGGGAAGGCAGGAGCAGGAATTCCTGCCCTGGGTATAGAGGCCTCCTGTACACAACGAATCCATGCAGCAAGGCCCACTGCTCAGACCGAGGGTTAGGGGAGTGTCGTGTCCTCTTTGTCCTCCAGAATTTCTCCAGTACAGAGTGTGGCTCCTCGTCTGTGTTCCATGCACAATTTCTGTGGTGTCCTAAAAGGGGCTTCAACCAGAAGTGTGGCGAGGTGGGATGGCTGCACCTTTTAATGTGGTTGCCATTTTCTCTTCTTGCCACATTAGAACAGCTTCTGCCGTCTTCTGAGGCCTACACAAGGCCACTGTCACACCTCCACAGAATCATAATCATGGTGTGACATGGATACTTTGAGCACTCACTACAACTTCCCGAGTTTGTACTGAACAACGTGAGAAAGGTGACCATGAAATATCAAATTATCATACTTTAATCTCACTCTGTTTCCCAACATATAATCCTATATAATAGATGAGCAGAAAGCACAGAACTACCGATACACGTGTTAGGGACGATTCATACATCCTCCCCACAAAACATGGTGTGCTTAAAAACAGCCTTAAATAGGGGCTCCATTTAGGTATATTTTCTTGTTTAAAGAGGAACATTTTTGCTTTCCCTGACTTCTCTCTTAAGGCAGACTGGTCATCTCCCCAACAAGGCACCAATGACAGTGAGAATGTGAGAGCGGGGGACATAGCTCAGTGGCACAAACGCCTGCCTGGCAACCCAGCAAGTGTGAGGTCATGGGTTTAATGCCCAGTACTAGAGAGAGAGAGAGAGAGAGGATCTAGCAGTCCAAGGCTGGGAGGAAATACTTCTCAGAGGAAAACTGTTATCAAAGGGACCGAACAAAGAAGCTCAGAGAAAAATGGGGAGAAAGAAGGAAGAAAACAAGAGGGAGAGTGGAAAAAATATGGGAGAAGGGGAAGAGATGAGAGTATGACAGAAAGATGACCATGCCTGGGGAAAAGATAAAAGACTCACTGCAGGGAGGCATCTTGGACATTCCCAACAAGGACAGTAGAAAGGACAGGCTCAGGAATGAATAAAGGGACAAAACTAGGTGGCCCCACACAGAAGGGGCAGAAGTGGGCAGGACCAGCCAGGCAGAGCTTGTGAACAGCACTGAGGAGGCATCGCAGGGAGCCAAGGCCATGCTGTAAGACAACCCATTCATTCTCATTAAACTTAATTATTGTGATTTAACCTTCATTGCGTGCCCATCAGTGTGGATATTTTGATGCATAAATGTCATTTGCTACTAACACTCGATCCCATAAAAAAAGAATGCAGGCCTAATTAGAGCTTTCCCATAGATAGATCTTACAGATATTGGAACTGCAAGTGTATTTTTTAGCTACCTACATGCTTGGCACATTAAATTATCTGTAGACTTTTCCAGAATTTAATAGAACAAAGCAAAACCGTAATCCTGCCAAGGATTATGTGTCAGATGTGTCAGATCTTTGAGACTGGTAGAGTGAACCTGGGAGCAAATTGGTCTCGTGTTTCTGTGAAATACTGACCTGTGTGTACTCCATAAAATCAACACGCCAGCTCTGTGCCTCACTGAACTGAAGTTAATCATCCAGGTGGTGAGATGGCATGAAGTCACAAGGACAGGGAAACGTGGCTTGATTGTCTATTCCTCACCTTTTCCCAAAGAGTCTTCTCACTCAGTTTGTCTAGCAGCTCATTTTACATGACCGTGGCAGAGGTGCAGCATAAGACAACTAAATGTGTAGTTCATGCCTAAGTAGCAACAACGGATCCGGTTCATTTTCCCTTCTGTGACTGCCAGGCAGTTGTTTAGGCATGATGGAGATGTGCTTCTGGATTGGAATTGGAAGTGGAACATGAAGTAGTCTCCCCATTGTCCACGATCTCTACAGGAAATAGGAACGACTCTGAGGCCTGTCCCCCCCATTCCATCCAACCCTTCACTCATGCCCCAACTTACCCTAAAACAAGCCTCGTCTTTAAAATTTCATGAATGTTTGAAATGGATAAGAGGATGTTGCTCATCAGGTAAACATTCACCCCCTAGAAGTTCTAATTCAGTTATCCCATCAACTCGTTTCTGACCATTACTACATGCTGGGCACAGTGACAAGGACCACAGGCCCAGACCCTCATCTAATTTAAAAAAAAAAAAAAAACTTATAAAGTGGCTATAATTGTCCCCATTACAGCGCAAAGGATATTTGTGCTTAAACATTAGACACAAACAATTGACGGAGCAAAGATGCAGACTCAAGCTATCAAACATCAAAGCCATGTGAACCAAAAGACTAACTTTGACCTCAGGGTGCTGTCTCCATACTGCTAGGAAGCAGCTTAGCACAGTTTTGGCCACAGAGGCAGCCTAGCAGGCTGTACTGTCCCCAAACTGAGTTCAAATCCCCATTTATCACTTTTTGGCCTTGTGATGTCAGGTAAGCTACTTAGCCTCTCAAAGCCTCCTTGTTTATACAGGAATGATGGTAATGCCACCCTCACTGGACTGTTGTGAAACTTAACTGAAATAATAATACAAAGTGACTTTAGCAATGCTGACACATAGAGAACACCTAACAAATGCTAGGCTTGAGGGTTTTTCAGAAAATAGAGCATCACAATTCCAGGTGGGGAATTCTAAAACAAGCACCCGGACTGTGGTGCTAAAAAGAACCTGACACAGGCTAGTTCAGGGAGCCAGACCACAATCTAAACTGAGTCCTGAAGGACAAGCAAGAATCAAAAGAGACAAGTTGATGAGAGAAATGGTGTTCCCGCCAAGGGGAGAGCTTGGACAGTTGGGTTTAAATGTACCAATGAAGCCAAGCTCCTTTGTCCTTGGAGGAGTCCACTCCTTTGTGGAACATTCCAGGGAGCCCAGATGGAACCTTAGCACCTCAAGTCTGAGGTGAGAACCCATGCTGTGAGAGCTGCACATCTTTGCTAAGCCACAAGAGACCTTAAGAAAGGTGCCCCTTTGCCCTCAGTCAGATTGCAGTACCATGTTGTTCAGAAAGGTGCTGAATTCATATTTAAGGCTATTGATTCCCCATGACTTAAAACCATGCACATAAAAAGTTTTAAAAAGAGAAAGAAAGGTCCCAAGGGTAGGCTTTAATTGGAGGCAATAGGGGGGACCCCTGAGAAGTGACCATGGGTCACAAGCAGCTGAGGATGAGGACAGTCTCCAGCAACCATGTTTGAAGAAATAGCGTCGTCAAACAGCATCAAGATCCTCGCTCAGGGCTTGTCACCATCCCTTTTGTGTAGGCCCAGCCTCATTTCCTGTGCCCTTCAGCCATGTATAGAATGGAGTTTGGGAGCAGAAATATTTGAAGCAGTGACTCCCCTATGACTTGGTGAGATGAAAGTCTGACTCTGTGCACAGTGACTTCCAACATTTCTTAAAAAGTCAGGATCTGTCCACATAAGGCCTGCTTCCCTGAGCAGTCCAGGGAAACTGGGTCCAGGCCCAGGTGGCTTCAATTAAAAGGACCTGCACTTGGGGCTGGGGATTTAGCTCAGCAGCATAAGCGGCTGCCTTGCAAGCAGGCAGTCATGAGTTCGATTCCTGGTACCTATAAAAAGGAAAAAGACAAAAAAAAAAATTAAAAAAAAAGGACCTGCACTCATCAACTCACCAAAACCCTACAACCTGCTTCACCCTCTCACAGGACCCATGCCTGGAGTAGGCATGTTCCTCTTAGGAACTATGTGCTGACTCCTCCAAGTCATCATTAGTGCAGAAGGCAGAACTGAATCCTTAGAGAGTGGCTGCTCCCAGAGGATTGGCCAATTGTAGTAACCCTAATCCAACCCTAGAGGGTCTTATGCCACAATTTTGAGATGGGAACTAGGCAGCTGTCTTCTTAATGAGCTTCCCAAGTGACTCTGAAGCTCATGAAGTAGGAGGCTCTAATCCATTTTTCTCACTGTATAGCAGAGCTGACTTTGACAGTCTACTCTGGCAATCAACAGGAATATGACCACATCAGCTGTTAAAATATTAAACCAGTTCTATATGGATAGGTAAATCACAGACACCCTGAGCTAGTTTCTTCCCCTCCCACACCCCAGCTCTTCCCCGATCCTCTCCATCAGTCTACCATCCAGCAGTTAATGGATTAAAACCAAGCAGAGTGGAGCCCTCTAGGAATAGAGCCCTTCTTCATTCTGATTGGCTGGTACCTGTAGCCTACTAGTTAGCAAATGTCTTGATTATTACCCTGCAGTACAGATCAGGGCCCAGAGAGGACACTCAGGCTGAGAGCACTGTGATCAAGCCCATAATTCTTCCCAACAAAACTCTACTATCTATTTATATCTATCTATATCTATATCTATATCTATATCTATATCTATATCTATATCTATATCTCTCTATCTCTATATCTATATCTATATCTATATCTATATCTATATCTATATCTATATCTATATCTATACTGAGGATCAAACTCACTACCTCACGCTTGCCAGGCAGGTGCGTATGCCATTGAATGAAATCCCCAGCCCTAACAAGCTACACCTTTGCCACTCACCTTTGCCAGGCTATTGGCCTAGGAAGGGCACTGCCTGGGAAGGGAGTCCCGTGCATGTTAGTCTACCTGCTTCATGCACCCCTTTCATAGGTGTAAGTAATGCCTGTGTGCTCCTCAGCTCCTCTGACATCCACTTGGCAGGTATGGAAGCCATTTCTTTCAGTGAGAGGAGCAGCCATCCATCCTCATCCTCTCGCCCACCTCTGACCTCGCAGATCAGTCCTGCACTTCTGGCTGCCCTGCCTGGGAGGAGAACAGCTACAGCATGCAGAAAAGCAAAGTTCTTTCCAGCCTCCACTCTCTTGCTCAGATGCTACAGCTGAGGGCTTCTTTGTTTACATCTTGAGTTCAGACCCTACTTCTCCTTTGGGCTGGGAGAAGTGATTGTTTGCACCTGCAGCAACCTCAGAGGTAACCATGAAAGACAGTCACTTAGAGAATGTGCTTGGCAGGCAGGACCAAACTACAGAGGCTAACTCCAGAGATACTTGTGGCAGCTTGATGTCATTGAGAATAAATCATGCAAGGACATTTTACTCGAAATAGAGCAAACGGTAAATGATCAATCTGCCAGTTTTATGTCCTAGACCAGAGTAGAAAAAAAGTATTCCCAGGAGATACTCTGTTCACTGATCTACACTTTGACAAACAGAACACAGCAGAGGTAGGATCCAAGGTACACCTTCAAATCACAGATGAGGGGCAGAGGGGGCATTACACACGCACCCATCCAATCATTCCACAGCCATTGTCCATCACTCACACTGGACCAGACTATGTGAGAGGGAACAAGGATACGGTTTTTAACAAGATAGATAAAAATAGATTAAGACAGTACCATAAAAAGGTATGGTCCTCATACAATGTAGTTTGTTTCTCATTCATTTTTTTCTGGACTTTGGACATCATTCTGCTTTTCTGCCTGCTTTTTGTTTTCTATATATGAAATACATGGTAGGATCATGAGACAACCATATATCTGTCACACAGCTTTTTTAAATAGTGTAATTATCAATATCATTGAATTGCACTCTGTGCCTCTCCAATCCCGTCCGTTCCTTCCGCTCATTTCCCTCACTGCCACCGTACTGAATTCCATGTTCATCACTGCCTTGGAATCTTCCTACACATGGACTATGGAGAATTCTCGGTGCGGCCCACAGCAGTACTCAGTAAATACAAGTCAAAGTAAATACTGTGACTTTAGGCTGTTGTATTCTGCCAGACTATTGGAGCCATCTGGCTTCCGTTCCTGGGATTCTAAGACTGAGTCTGCTGGAAAGTGAGATTTGATGCACAAAATATGTCTGGCTTTGAGAGGTTCTAGTTTGGAGGGATTTTATAAGAATTCCTCCAAGTATTGTTTGTTGCTTCTTATTATGGAAATGCAAATTTCAGCTGTGCCCAGTGTTAAATATAGGACTGTGTGTGTGTGTGTGTGTGTGTGTGTGTGTGTCTGTCTGTCTGTCTGTCTGTCGGTTTAATCCAGGTCTTAACACTGAACTACATTATCAGTCCTTTGTTTTTTATTTGTTTGAGACAGTCTTGCTAATTGCTAAGCTTGCCATCCTGGGCTCAAACTTAGGCTCCTCCTGCCTCAGTCTCCCCAAGTGCTGTACATACAGACATGCCCACCATGCCTGGCTGAGTGCAGCACTCTTTAGGCAGCTCTCT